CAAAGTAAACGATGTTGTTGGCGACGCGCCTATAAGAATATTTCAATTTATTAGTTAACCGATTACGAATAGCTTCTAAAAAGCAAATTATCAAGCAACAATATTCCGATAAGAAAATACTTAGTTGAATCTTAAAGAAATATCGAATTAATGATATGAAGGTCTTGGGTTCGACTCCCAGGCCGGAATAGTTTATCGTTTTCTTAGTAATATCTCTTAATAAATTCATATAGGGAATTTTAAGATATAAATTATGTTACCGGATTTGTTCCCCGGTTGAAATCATCTTTCCAATAATGTTAACTTAAAGAAATATTAAAATAAAGTTAGAGACCAGGATTTGTTCCCCGGTCGAGATGATCGCTGTGCATAAGTAGAATTAATGGAAATTAATTGCATAAGTATTGTCTTATATGAGTTTGATATGTTTTGTAGAAAACAAATGCCTATTTTCTATGATTGATTTATGAAAACATTCACTTATATTGTTTGATAAGAAACATGATAACTGTTAAGAATCTGATTAGAGGTAGTTTTCGGCGTTTGAGAATTGAGTAGAATCATTTATTAACCTAGTATCGTCGATATTAGTGTATACTAAACTTTCCATTTTTACTGATAGTCGACAGCCGTGCAAAAGTTAGTTGTTCAAATAGTGTGAGTTCATAGACGCACGCTAGCCACTTACTTAGGAGGCCAAATATGTAGAAATTTAAATATTTTCAAATTTCAGCAATTTATGTAAAATGACTTGTAAAACATTTCAGATTGATTGTACGTGTAAAAGAGGTGAATTCTGTGTTATTTTATGTGAAAATTCCTGTGAATAAGTGAAATAATGATAGTTTTATATAGTGAAATGTATAGATAAAATGTAATTTAAACTATTGTATTAGTTAGGATATGTATAATTTCAAGTGGAAAACATTGTTTTAACTTTATATGTTAAATATTTAAGAAATTCCAACTTTGAACATGTGAGTAAAATAAGCATATTTGGTTAAATAAATGAAGGGTTTTTTGTGATATGAAAATGTAATGTATATCGTAGTATAGATATTTCTTTGTGCTATCTTTATAAGTAAATTGTATAAATGTATGTCTTATACAAATAAAGTTATTGAGCAAACCGTGAGAGAGTGATAGTACAAATTGATGTAATTGAGTTGCGCAAGCGCACAAATGGCGCAGCTCACTTTCGCGTTTAGCTTCGAGGTAGTTCAGTAAATTGATTTTTCTTGCAAATCGTTCGGGAAAAGTGCAAGACCAGCAGTCAATAAGAAGAAGAAAGAAAAAGTATAGGGAAGTGATAGGGAAAAGTAATTACTCTCTCACGGAACGGTTTGAAGATAATTGCTGTTTTATTCCCAAGGAATTCTCCCCTTAAAGTGATACAGTCCATATCGAAGAATTAAGGCGTTGGGACCGGGACGACTTCGGAAGACCCGTAATCCCTCCTGAACCTATTTTCTGAAAAGGAAGAGGTTATCGCCCTTGTGTGTTACTCCGTTGCGGAGATCACATATGCTGTTCCCAAACCCAACGTAGGCGTTATAGGAGGCCAGATCGAGAGAAGCCTCGATTCCCCCCTTCTGTTTCTTAGTTAACGTTTATCTGGTTCCTTTTCAGATGTAAACTCCTCTAAATATTTAGAAGTCTTCAGCGATAACAAATTCGACGAAAAAAATCATCAATACAAATTAAAAACTCGTTTTAGTAGTTTAAGCCTCTGAACAGAATTAATCTAATATATAAAAATTAATATTATTTGTTTGTTCCTATTTTATGCGCTGTCACACCGTTCGTTAGATTGCGGTAATACTTTGTTAATACATTGCTTGCACTTCCGTGAAGGTTCTAGTCATAGTTGGACCCATTACGTGGCGCCAAAAATCACTCGTGGGATTTCAGGGTAGATCGCTAGTAACAAGAAAAGCAGTCTAGGTACGACCCGAAAGCTCCACACGACAAACATTCCAGAGGAAAATATAATAAAATATCATACGTTAATATTTCATATAATTTTCCAGTCAGCACAAAAAACGACTAGACCGATTATGCTCAAAATTTAATGAGGTCCAAGTTACATAATTATGCGTTATATGAAACTGTTCCCATGTCAATATTACTCTTTGTTCTCGAGATACACGAGGCGAATGTACACACACGGACATCCTCTTAAAAACCATACTATTCGCCTTACGTATCTTACAATTTCCAATTCGCAAAATCGGACCCATTAAAATAACTTACCACTGTAAAGTTAATAAATTGGCAACAGGCCTGCTGTACACCTTATTAAATTTATGTTGGGAACTGAAGCGAGTACCGGAAGACTAGTGCAAAGCCGTGATAGTCCCAACATATAAGAGAAAAGGCTCACAGCAGGACTGTTAAAACTACTGTGGTATCAGCTTTCTTAGTATTGTGGGAAAACTGTATGCTAAGGTACTAATTTAAAGGATCATAAAAGAAACTGATGGAAAAATTTGGGATGTGCAAGCGGAATTTTTAAATGGCGTGGGATGTACAGATCAAGTCTTTTCCATGCGCATGATCGCGGAGAAGTTTTTGGCTAAAAATTCCAAAGAGTTTTTTGTGCGTTCATGGACTTGAAAAAGGCTTATGACAGAGTGGACCGGGATATGTTATGACAAACACTGAACTCATTTGGGTTGAGCGCTGGGTTGATACAGGCATTAACGTCTACTCAACGAAGATCCTTAGGGGTGACCGTACAAGATGGTGCTTGGAAAACTCAGGCCCTGGACTCCCCCCTTGACAGAAACTCTCGATCCGGAACTGCTGGGAAGAGTGATCAGCACACTTTTCCCAGAGGACCGGTCAAGTCCCTCAGGTCATATGCCATCGTCATGAGAGTGGAATGATGAGATGGGGTTGACCTTGGGAGACGGGGCCTGAACGGGGACGGAATTCCGGGTCAGGCTCTAGTGCTGAGTCTGGCTGCCTTGGGGGACAGGCTCAGACAGCAGTTCACCGGATGCATGCAGAGTGCCAAATTCCCCACAGTTTGGAAAGAAACAAGGTTGGTCCTCTTGAAGAAGGAAGGCAGGGCCGCTGATTCTCCCTCTGTGTACCGTTCATATGGCTGTTGAACGAGATTGGCAACTTGTTTGAGAGGATAGTTGCCACTCGGCTCAACAAACATCTGTCGCGCGTCGGTCCCAATTAGGCTGACAGACAATTGTCGGAACAAGCAGTAGCCCGCGGTAGTGTGGCATTGGCGATAAGTCTCGATATCGTCAACGCCTTTAACCCTCTACCCTGAGATGCAAACAGGAGGGCACTAGCACATCACCAGGTGCCTGCCTACCTGCAAGGCATAATCGGGGACTACTTTCTACATGGGCAAGATGGTAGAAGATCAGGAAGGAGATCAAACCTGGGGTTCCGCAGGGCTCGGAGCTGGGTCCGCTATTATGGAACCTCGCGTACGATGCGTTTCTGCGTATCGACCTTCCTGCTGGCGTAAATATCGTGTGCTATGCCGAGGAACTCTAAATTCTCATAACACCCATGTAACATCTCAGAGAAGGAGTGCCTGAAAACCAGCGCTTTATGGGATCTAGTTCCATGTAAGCAAAAGCTGAGTCACCTCCGTTTGCCTAAATTAAATTAAGATTAAATAATTAGTTTATATGTAAACATGTTTTTAAAAGTGGCAATAAAATGATATTTATTTATTTATCTAGGCTATATTTTATCCTAGTAACTTGGAGATTTTCTGCGATTTTCTCGGATTTTTAAAAATTTAATAAACTAAATGGTCTTTGATGATTATCTTAAAACTATTTATTGCTACAATAATAAATAATTTATTAATAATAATATTTATTTTCTACCAACAATACACATTTAAATAAAACTAGTTTTTACGGTTTTTATCGCATGTTTCTCTACGTTTTATGGACACGTACAGGATCGCCCCCATCACTACATCAGTTTTGATAGACCACAAATCCTCGCCAAAGAACACCGATTGTTTTCAAGTATGATGCGCGGAGCTATTGGAATCAAAAACGTACTACTACCATCTGCGTGCGATCCTATAATTAATAAAATTAAATCCCAACCCAAAACACATAGCAAACAAAACAAAAGTATAGAAATTTATGCATCTATGCAATAGGCTAGAATACCTAATAATTTCCGATAGTTAGCTTCATAGCCATGTGGAATATATCAGACGTGAATATCCAACAGAGTATCATCAGATGGGGTCGCCAATCTCCAAGCGTAATGGTTACGGAAATGGTATTCCTACAACGGATGAAACTCACACAACACTAACCTAGTCGATCGCTTCGCTGGAGTATTACATAGGACACAAGAAATAAAGATTGTATGTTGCTCGTTGACACTATAATATACTAATAATATAACCTGCACATTTGATAATTTCCAAAAATATTCCGTTAATGTCCGTTAGTCAAAACTAGTAAAAAGTGCATTACCACATTACATATAACATTTGGTAAAAGTTTATAAAAATTTATCACATTGTTGATTGCGATTATAATTTTTATTAATTTGAGGTCAACTTATACTTTTTATGAAAAGTCTAACTTTGTGAGCCATTTGAGTGGAATAACATAAGCCCAAATTTAATCAAAATATTTGCATTAAAAACTGCATATAAAGAAAATTTCTCTATATATCCCTGCTATGCCTCGCCATAATACTCAACTGATATGCAAGGACCTTGTTTACTGATTTTAATTCCCAAGTGCGATCATAGATGGCGCTAGCTGTCCGTTGTTTCGCGCAGTGTAAATATTTTTTGAGTTAATGACCCTCGGGTTCCTACGGCTCATAATAAATTTAGTTTGCTAGTACTGTGTGTTGAATTTTCATTTCAAATACATACCTACCTCGAACTACCTCGTCATATTCCATGTATGGGTTACACAAAGTATTGGTTATTCGAACCGGATCTGGATTGGTCGGTTAAAGGAAACTTTTGTATTTAATTGTATTAA